TTTATGGTTGCTGTACGACTGTCACAAGGAGTAAAGATACTTCCACATGCTTACTTTACTCTGTGTATTTAGGGTTGCTGTACAACTGTCACATGGAGTAAAGATACATCCGCATGCTTACTTTACTCTGTGTATTTAGGGTTGCTGTACGACTGTCACAAGGAGTAAAGATACTTCCACATGCTTACTTTACTCTGTGTATTTAGGGTTGCTTTACAACTGTCACATGGAGCAAAGATACTTCCACATGCTTGTGAACCAACTCTGATTGGAGTGACATACAAAAAATTAAATCTAATTATAATTTTGCCATTTTAAAACAGGTTTATTTTGTTGTTGTTGGGGAAGTCTTGTCCATGCTTAACCTTTTGAAGTGTCACTCCTGCTGATTTTGCGTTTATCTTTCTTCATATAGTCCAGTATCAACAGTATTAAGTTACTAGTACAACTTATATATAGTTTATATTATTTGTATAGATTTAATCTATATAATTCACTCCCAACTTAACATCTTTCAATACAATAGTCTTCCACCTGTATGACAAGCCATTCTCATAATTTATCCGACAAATAAAATGTTTAATTTGGTTCTGATTTTACAAATAGTCGTTTTTCTTGTCTCACTTGTTTGACTGACAACAAATCAATACACTTGTCTTGCATGTTATTTTTGATGCTCTTCAATTATTGCAAACATCAGGTAGCTGTGTGCACTAGGTTTATACTTGGACTACTACACTCTGAGTACAGCAAAGCCTTCAAAACACGCCTATTGCTCATACAGGTTTGTTTTCCTTGAATGTTGTAGATTATTCATGTTTCACTATATATTTATTTATGGCATTACTTTTACAAACAATGATTAGTTTTTATTTTATTTTATTTTTTCACTCATATATTAAGATATAAAAAAAATTTTCATATGATTTGGGCTACTTTTTACTTGATAATACAAACTATCGAAAAATTTGCTTCACACATTAAACACGTCCTACTTCCATAATACTTGTAGTAAATATTAATCATGTACATTATTCCAGTTCCTACATCCTTAATAAATGTAGTAAGTATTAATGATGTAGATTAATCCACTTCCTTCTTCCTTAATACATCTAGTAAATATTGATGATGTAGATTAATCCACTTCCTACTTCCTTAATACATCTAGTAAATATTAATGATGTAGATTAATCCACTTCCTTCTTCCTTAATACATCTAGTAAATATTGATGATGTACATTAATCCACTTCCTACTTCCTTAATACATTTAGTAAATATTAATGATGTACATTAATCTATTTCCTACTTTCTTAATACATCTTGTAAATTTAATGATGTACATTAATCCACTTCCTACTTCCTTAATACATCTAGTAAATATTAATGATGTACATTAATCCACTTCCAACTTCCTTAATACATTTAGTAAATATTAATGATGTACATTAATATATTTCCTATTTTCTTAATACATCTAATAAATATTTATGATGTACATTAGTCCACTTCCTACTTCCTTAATACATGTAATAAATATTAATGATGTACATTAATCCACTTCCTACTTCCTTAATACATCTAGTAAATATTAATGATGTACATTAATCTATTTTCTACTTTCTTAATACATTTAGTAAATATTTATGATGTACATTA